CAATGTTTTAACTACCACGATTGCTTTGGCTCGGCCAACACTTCTGCCTTTCCATAGTTTATCCGTGGCAATCACGAGATGGGTTTTTCGTGCCGCTCAAAGCCACGCGTTGGCTGGCCCAAACCACAAAATGCGAGCATCATTAAGGAGCCAATGAAAAGGGCCTCTACAGCAAAGTAGGCCTCTTCATTTTTGCCAAAGTGGACGTCTTAAGTTTCATCGCATTCTTTGTATAGAGCGAACGTGCGACGTGCACGCATGTAAGCTCGTGTGCAAACAAACCCACGCACACGCGGCGCAGCACACCAACACCGACTCCCTCACAACCTGCAGCGTGGTTACCGTCGCTATGCAACACGGGCCATTCAAACACTGGGAACAGCAGGAAAAGCGGATTAACACCAAAACAGGGCCCACACTGTACTCGTGACACTCCGTTAAAGATGGGCGGAAAAATCAACGGGAACCACCAATTACAACCATAATATTCGCCGATCGTGATCAATCCCCTTGCCCCACTCTCCCCCCAAGCAATCGCCATGGTCCAGTAATGTAACGATCCATCCAGCTCCTGCATACGAGCTATTTAATCACCGCTCCGTCTCCACGGTGGGCATCCTCGCGGGCGTGACCCTTCCTTTGGCTGTCCCTCCACCACCAGTCTCACCCATTCACCGTCATCTCCACCGAGTGACGCGTTGACCTACCCAAGCCCGGCCTCTACTTTCCTTAACAGTCAACGAGAAGTCATCTCCACTAACCTTTCCGACATCAGGATCCACATTCGGGTTAATTTACAACCACTCACCCGAGGTGGTGTGGAGAGGGAGAGGCTACGCTACTGGGGAATGTTGTTATCCGCAGAAATAACTCCGGGCTTCTATTTTCACAGTGAAGTGAAGGTACTGGGATCACCACACACACGACAAAAAAAAAAGTGCAAGTCTCCGTCCGTGCCCTGGCGTTCAGTACGAGGTCTCGGTGGTGCCGAGCGGCGGGGTAGCTGTCGAGTGTGCAGGCGGTGCAACTGCACCGAGGCCCACGGGCCGTAGGGACCCAGGCGTTCAGCTACGACGAGGGGGTGAAGATGTAATAGTGCCCCCCCCCTCCGCCATTGTATTTCTTGCACCACTGCCCATACCAGTCATGCTATGTTACCGACACCTGGTACAGCAGTGTACTCGAAGGTTATCAGCCACCCTTAAAATCCCATTTCACAGCAATGCATTTTCGCTTACGTTCAAGCCTTCCATAAACCTGTCGTGATATCTGTACCAATCAATCCTGGTCCTTTCCTTGACCAACCGGCGCTGACCGGTGTGGCGAGATACGGTCAAACAAACCCCCATTGCCGACGTGCCGTGGGAAATTCTCACCCAGCAGACACTTGATAAAGGACCGTCAAGTACTTTTTTTTCCTTTGTTATTGAACAAATTTACTCCTGCCATCAACTCTAACGCCGCCAAAGAGAACGTCCCCTAGGAGCAACGAGACAGACCATCTCGTGAGCTGGTGCCACGTGGCTTGCTACAGCGCAGGACCATAATAGACGGCAACAGCTTGGGGAGCGGCCTCCGCCAGCATCGGATTGATCACGGCTAACGATGACGACAATGCAACTTGACATGCACGTCCATTCCTCTCCATTGACCGTGCGCAGGTGACATTTCAACACATTCACACGAAGCCCAGCATGCACCACCGCGCGTTCGCACTGCCGGCGGGACGTTCTCCCGCGCCTCCTGCGAAAGCGGTATGCCTCCGTGCGAGCTAGAGTGGCGGACTCGGGAAGAATCTATGGGCTGTCACTCAGCTGGATGCGGACACGGACTATTTATTTGTTGGCCTCGTGCGAACTCGGCGAGATTGTCGCAAACACAAACACCTGCGGCGTTCTTACGCAAAGCCCACCCGGGGCAAGGCGCCGATGGCGTCGAGCTAACGACAACCATCGCAGACAAACGCATTCCACATTCACCACCAGTGCCAAAGCTTACTGCAGCGTGCAGCCACTTTACAACGGCAGTGCCAAACAATACAAACAATCGATCGATACCTCGGTTTGAAACCAGGTGGGAACAGGTGCAGACTAAAGGTCTCTCTGGCAAGGGAGACCAGGGTAACATAAAGTAAAGTAGTATAAAGCACGGACAAAGTGATAAAAACAAATGAAACAAACACCAGATATAAGAAAATGATAGCGATAAAATTAAGTGAAACTCATATCACAATGTGATTAGATCTTGGGAGGGCTCTCGGCCTGTGATGAATCGTTCCCTCGCGATTCAATTAATTAAATGTCACGATTTGGGGCAGTGATTTCATAAAAATATTCATTTATTACACAACAGGTTGTGGCAGCCGAAATGATGATTCACAACTCATTTTTGGGTTAGGCCATGCAATTATCCGGCCAAGTTTCTGTCGTGAGACCTTAATTTTTATATCAATTCTCAAGTTTAATATGTAGGCTTTCGCAACCAATATCATCCATAATACCGGTGTTTACGGTTAGATCGCGTACATATATAAAAGTGTCATAAAACATTAACAAATATGGCTGTATCCTGAAGCTAGTTGTAAATACTGGTGAAACGTCGTACTCAGATTGTAAGTGTTGTGGCTTTGCACTCCAACACACCGGTGTGCTGTACTAGTAACGAATTGGCATGTTCTGTTTATGGGACAAACCTTACGAATTGGCTATGTTGGGTGGTGGCGGGTTTAACGACACATATTTACGAGATCTAACCAAAAAAACCTGTATTATGAACAACTCTTAACTAATTATTGGTTCTTTCGGTAAAGTCACGTAAAAGGGAAATAATAAAATAATATTAAACAATAAAAATTCTCACGACGTTTCAACTGCAACACAAGCAACCATCAGTCACGAAAGCTTTAAATCTAAATTCTTAACTTAGTTTAGCAATCGGATACGCGGCATTTCGCATGACACTGCGTCAAGCACCTTCAGGACAGGACTCAGGAAGTCACAACGTCACCTGACCTGCTTTTTTAAACAGGTGTCATCACATCACTGGAACAACCAATCAGTTTAAACAAGACACTAATAATTAAAAACGAATTCATGTTTCCTAATTGTTGTCTAATTTATCTGGGCCAATGATTTACAACATACGCATTATCCATGATTATAGGAGGCTGTAGCAGGCTCGTTTTTGTGGTTGTAGCACCTGCAGGGGTCACAAGACCAAATTACACACCCCAAGCAGAAATCGACAAGAACAGATTCTTAAGACTCACAATTTGAAGCCATTTACACGAGCAAAACCATAATAATCCATTCAATACACACACTGACGCATCGCTATACGTGCCTTCTCATACAGTCACCCACTGTCTGCTTTCAATTAACCCTCAAAATGTAATTTGCGAGTCGAATTATTGTGTTTTTGCAATTGTGGTGTTTGTGTGTCCGTTTTATTGGAAGCAACAGTGGACGATGCTGAACATGCAGGGTTCCCATTAGTTGTTCAAGTACAACACCAATAACAATGTCAACACTGGTGAGTAACTGTTTGTCACTCAATTCCCAATGTCTTGTCTCTTCTCACAATTCAAGTTCCTAGAATCAACCCACCCGCGCCTGCAACATGGCTTCATCCCAGAGGTCGCAATCGGGTACCCGATACCCGTACCCTACCCGATACCCGGCTACCCGTACCCGGCCGGGTACGGGTACCCCCGTTTGCGACCCTGGCGCGGCCGGGTACGGGTACGGGTAAGGAATCAAAACCTGTTTGCGACCTCTGGCGGGAAGGCAGCAAGCCAGGCACGGATCTGGCGCTACCAATAATTGCCCATTCTCTGCGGTCCTCTGTATATTAAAGATGTTCTGAGCCAACCGATGGGTGTTTATGCATGTGGGAGAACCAGAGCACAAAACAACCCATTTGTGAACGTACACAAATCGGAAATTATCACTTCCCACACGCATGGATTTATGTTGCAGCCTCACGTCTGTTCTCTACTATCGCCCCCTCGGTGTGGAACTCTCCCAAGACCTTTGCACAACCGCAACATAAAATGCACTCCGAATTTCAAGAAACATCTAAAGGCCTCTCTATCTGTGTTGGGTCAGGCTTTCGAGCAGCCCTGAGCTTGGCTTAGCGCCTCCAGTTATAAATGTCATCATCATTATTATCCTGAGGGCAAAAAATATTTTAAAGATAAAATGTTACATCCGTGGCACTGCTTATTACTGCCGTGGTGGCTGGGTAACATTTTCCCAAGCTTCTTTCCAAAAAAACCTGGCCTGCGACATCGACCCTCCTATCTACACCTGCGTCAGGTTACAAATTGCCAGGCAAACGCAGCTGCGGATCATTCCCACCTGCCGAGCAAGGGCCCTTTTGTGACGCAATAATTAAGGGAGGAAAACCGAGCTTTTCATGTTCATCGTTTTTATCGCCGCCCAGAGCCCAAAAGCGAGAAAACATACTGCGTCAACAACACCGGCTGAACGACGCAGCTATTTACGGGGCCTCTTTACGACGACGGCTGCACGCGGCGAGTTTTTGCAAGAGACACATTACACTGGGGACATTTGCTTGCGGAGCACGGAGGCCCACTGATCAAACAGCATCTCACCTGGCTTTCGCTAAACAACCACAATCAATAGACAAGCAACAGCTAACAAGGAGCTGTTTGTACAACAGCTCTAATCGCTTTGGCGACAAACACCGACACTCTTTAATTTCCTAAGATGCTCGCGGTGATGAATGATGTTTGCGGGGCCTTTTCCTAGTGGTAGGCCTCGTGTGACCGCGGGGCCAACTGCATGTAGAACTTCTTTCGCACCGTACGTAGCCGACCGTGCTACTAATCTCAAGTGTGGGGGAAGGACAGCAAACTAAACACAAAAAGCAGTTCCAAAATACCCAATGAAATGAAGCGACGGGCTCGTGTTCAACGGGCAGGCCCGTACGATTCCCTAGGACTGCCCTTACAAGTCACATGAGCGGCGCACACTCACCATCTGCTGGGGCACGTTCACGTTGGACGGGGCGAGCGTCTTGGGCAGGATGTGCTTGCCGGGCGAGCCCAGGCTCCCAACGGGAAGCGTGACCACAGAGACGGTGCCTGCGCCACGGCAACACGGGACGGGGGGGGGTTGCCACCCTTCAATATACGGATCCAACCACGATTCAAATTTCGACTTGACGAGCAGAAAACAAGCTCAAGGTGATCGGCCCCAGTGGCTCAGAAGTCGAGGGCAGGGCCTGGGATCGCTGAGATCCTGGATTTTAAATCGAGGCTTTGAGCAGCTGGTGATTAAAACCGATTTCCCAAGTCTCAGCCTAGTCACAAATCGGCCGTGCGAAAAAAAACTCATCGCGTTAAATTTGGCTCAATACTTAATCTTCCTAAGCTGCAGCTATAAGATGAAAAAATATCCAGAGGCTTTTTGGTTTAGATCGCGTAAATATAAATGTGTCGTTAAACCTGCCACTACCCGACAAGCCAATTAAGGTTTGTCACGTAAACAATTCATTACTCGTACAGCACACCGATGTGTTGGAGAGTAAACCTACAACATTTACAATCGGAGAACGACGTTTACGTGACAAACCTTACTAATTGGCTTTGACGATTGGTGGCGAGTTTAATAACACGTATATATTGACATGATCTAAACCAAAAAAAACCCTCTATTATTCATATTGGTCGCAAACGCCTATGCATTAAAAACTGACAAAATATCGGTCCGACTATCACAGGAGAAGAACAGTCATTCACGCTTGAATTTTAAGCAGAGGACATGCCTGTGACGACAGCACTACAAGATGATCGTACCAGGAACTGAACCTAAGAAAAGATGGTTCATGACCGAGCACACACCGACTGCTAGGCCGGCCCTACGATAGGTGCCAATACATTTCCCAATTTTTTTTATTTTTGTCTTGGGTACAAGTTGAAAATACCAACTTCCAGAATTTCACTGAAAACTGTGGGCCATAACGCAGTTCTACTCGGACGCAGACGAGACAGCACGACATGACTGACCCATGAAGGGATCGGCGTCACATTCATGAATATTGCCGTTGTGTTCGAGATGGCATGACGATTGAAAAAAAAAGATCAAATAACTTACTTTTGGATGGGCTGAAGTTTTCCAAAAAGCCCCTTAACTCTCCGTTCTTGTCAAAATATCCGACCTGCAGAGCGAATACACGAGTCAGCGACACGGGCCACCTTTGCAATTTCAACGCAGTTCACACATCAGTGAATGGAAAAAATAATGTGTCCAGTACACACACAAAAAATTATAACATTAACATGTAGTGCACGTTATGTAAAAAACTACGAAAATTCCAAGATACACATTTGAAAACTATCACTATGTCATGAATACATGCAACATAACCTACATTGAAAGCACATGTAAAAAAATAACCAGAACTTTCTAACAATTTACAGTCAATCCACTGCTGTACAAAGGTCGTCGTACTGCTGTGTCAGTTACGAGGCTTGTTTGACCATACTTCACCATCCTGGTCGGCGCAGATTTGTGAAGGGGGAAAAAGCCCAGGACCGGTTCAGATATTACTTCGCCACTGATGCAAGTCATAGCCAGGAACAGAACTCGGGTCAATGGACCCAGAGCACAGTAATACCAACCACTGTTCCACTGCTCCAACCAAAGCTTTTATGTAAACTGTACAACAGGTTTTAGTTGTAAAGTTACACTTGTCCACAATAATGGTCCATTTTGAAAATTCTCAAGGCAACTTCGTGGTCCCTGCCATGATTAAGCACCGGGCTCTCTCTGTAGTTCTTGCAATGTGTGCGCACGTACATCTTTGGCCATGATGTCACCGGGGTTATGCCAGTAAGGACCAGTTCAGCGTTCAACTCCGGCTCCCGTTCAAAGCGATAATCTGCAATGGGAATGCAGACAACTACATGTCAGTACTTACACCTCCGAACAGAAGACGCAATCCGACGTTCAACATTTCACATCATTTACGGCAGTTTCTCGCTGTTAGAAGCGTATCCATTAACGCCAAGACGCATTTCACGTTTATTAGTTTAACCGGGTAGGACCTCAGAAGTGAGCAGAATCAGTTTTAATGGCAAGACTGACCTGGGTGACCCAAATAACAAAAACAATAAAATAAAGTAAAGCAACGAAGCCAACAGAAAATAAGATGGGGGCGGGGGGGAGCAAACTTTCACTCAATTAAACACATGACAAATGTTGAGGCTTCTTATTTTTAAGTAAACATTAGGCGACGACCTCATGCAGAGACCTTTCCAAACGTTTATCCCGATATTGTAAAGACCCAATTCACGCACGCTCGGTCATAAAACAAGCTCGACGCTAGCGAGCGCGGTCTGGCGGCTGGGAAAACGAGAGGCACTACTCACGGCCACCCGTTGTTGGCATGCTGCATACGCGACTGCCGGCCACGCATTACGTGAATGTACGGGATGTACCATGGAGATGATCTAGAGGTGGGGGGTGGTTAGAATGTAGTGGTTTAATCCAATTATGTTAAACGCAGGGGATATTAAAACCCCAGCTTCCAACGCAGTGCCCCCAACGTCCTCGCTGTTAAGACCAATCAGGGGAGTTGAATGGACGGATTTTAACAGTAATGTTCTAGGATTTAAATGGATCTGAATCCAGAATTGGACCTGATAAAGATCTGGAACTATTTTAGTATCCAAAAGAACTAATTGTGGAAGACCATGGGTCATATCTCGGAAAATAATGTTGCATAGAATTGACAAAAATTAGATGTCAAGCCTAGAGGTATCACGCATGCCACATTTCCACTATAAAAAGGAAGTGGCAGGCAGTGCTGGGTCAAACTAGATTCGAAGCTTTTGTGACTGCAGGAATTACTCTTTGGTTCTTTCAGTAAAGTCACGTAGAAAATAAAATAATAATAGAATACGACGTTTCGGCTGCAACACAAGCAGCCATTATCAGGTAAGAATGAATAATAAAACACAGACACGAAAACAACATCGGCAGTCACACATGCAGAGACACACCGAGCGAGACACACTGTGTTTTATCATTCATTCTTACCCGATGATGGCTGCTTGCGTCGCAACCGAAACGTCGTATTCTATTATCATTTGATTTAAAATTTCTACGTGACTTTACCGAAAGAACCAAAGAGCAGTGCTGGGTCATTGAATCAAACCGACCAAGGTCACACTTTCTCCACAAACCATGGGCCTCCCAACTCACCCACTCGTACAACAGCGGCCTAGTGCCCGACCTCATAAGGGAGGACGGTTGCCGAGCAGGACTAAGGTTAACGTGACCGTGGATGAGGCCATACCGTGTTTATTTGAACTACAGCCTAATAACCATGCACTGCCTGGAAGGGTTAAGGCTGGTAAAACAAATGAACAGACAAGCGTCTGTTCATTTATTAGTTACAACAAATATTCCCGTCAGGCTGGTAATTAAATAAAAACACAAGGTCCCGTTTCACTTTTTTTGAGCCTAAATAAATAGGGTGGTGCACCAAAATATGACTCGGTTTTAATTTGAAGTAGAGAGATTTACCCGGGGTCTGTTCAATGCTTGTGTTAACTGGTAGTGTTGGCTTTACCCCATTTCAAGCTTTAATATCGCACGCCACAAGAGGCAGACAACTTGATTCAATGACAAGGGGATTGTATACTTGAATGTGTTTATCATGAGATTCAAATCAATGTCAAACTCAAATCTCGCCTTGCCATACAAGTGAAACTAACTGGCCTCTAGGCTGTATTATCTGGAGGCCCACAATATTCGCAATCGAAATTCAACAGGTTTGTTTTTCATTTTTCTTGTTATAAACAAACATGCACACTTGCATATATTAGTGCCAAATTTCAACTTTCATACATTTCTAGACCATCATTATAATTCCCATCAGCCGGCAATGATATGCAATGTGCACCGTGTCAAAAATATTCATATCTGGTAACCTGTCATCATACAGTAGTTTTAAAACCAACACAGCCAGTGCTTTGAGAGAGGAGTGTGAAGAAGCCACCGTGTGAAACCGGCCGTTAAAATGTGCCCGCAAACTCGGGCAGCTGAGGCCCTTCAAGGCAACGCTAAACCACGGGAGCAGCGCAAGTTCACGCAAAACAAAATACAGTAAAACCTTGGATTGCGAGTAACTTGTTCTGCAAGTGTTTTGCAAGACGAGCAAAATTTTAAAATAAATATTCATTTGATAAACGAGCGAGGTCTTGCAATACGAGTAGTACGTGTATACGCTTTGTCTTCCGAGCGTCACGTGATTCACAACTGATATACGAGTGCTTTGATATACGAGTGCTTTGGATTACAAACACGTTTCCGGAACGAATTATGCTCGCAATCCAAGGTTTTACTGTAACGCGATGGGAGCCTTGGGGGCTACATCATACACCTGTCAACCCATACAGTTTACCTCGTATTCTTGTACAGGGAAAATGGAGTTCTCAGGTCCAAACGGCGTACAGCCGTTTCAATACGGGCACAAAAAACATTTTTGTCTATTTGTTTGTGTTTCTCCCTTGTGATGGGGCTTTGTAGGATGAACGTTGAGATTTATAAGGGCACGCGGTGACCAATAAGGTTTGAATTGGTGTGTAATAAGTTAGACAATGGGGGTTGACAGGTACGCTACAATCCCAGCCACGTCTAACATCAGTCGGTGGCAAGCCTGGCACAACCCACTTAACACCAACCCGCAGTGACCAGCGTGAAATACGGCCATACAAATCCCCATCACTGGCAAGGCACGGAGGAAGCCTTCATCCAGCAGTGCATTGACAAACGGCTGTAAATTGGAATATTTTTTTTGGTTTAACACATAGATAAGATGTCTTACATCTATTTTTCAAAGAATACATACGGTGCAGATAGACAGCAGCGGTTGTGTTAACATACTCCACACGCTGGCATTGATCACGAGTTTAGCGTAGGCAAATATTAAAGATCCCTGAACATTTCGACAGCGGACAGCCACCCACAGCAAGCGTCGTATTTCCGCACACGCCATACGGAAACCGCACACGTGCAATCACGGCCAATGTCGCGGTGGGGTTGGGGGTGACACCGGTTGGTTTGTGGCCACCGAGATCCAGAAACAAAAGGGATAAACAATGCAGGAGACCGACGACGCAGATGACAGTTCAAATGACACAATATATTCATTCTTGAATCGGCGAATCGTATCCCTAAGTGTGTTAGATTCTTGGCCACGGCTAGTATCAGTGGCGAGTCATATCAGAACCAGAATATATATACTGGGGAAATCCGATGAGCTATAAAGCTCTTTTTCACAGATGCCCAGAAACAATCGATTCCCTGTCCCTCCCTAACTCACCATAACCAGTTTAGTGAAGTATGGTCAAACTTCCTGCATAACCAACACGGCGTGGGGAGGGCTTAAGTCCAGCAGCTAGATTAACAAAGGGCTGAGTATAAGTAGTCCTGTAAATATGAATTAATCACCAAATGCCAGACCGATGTAAAAATTCTAGATTTGAAGCTTTCGTGACTGCAAGGATTCATATTCTTAGGTTTTTTCGGTAAAGTCACGTAGGTAAAAAATTTACAAAAGTAAAATAAAATAAAACGTCGTGATTTTCATTTTACTTTTATTAATTTTTTACCTACGTGACTTTACCGAAAAACCCTAAGAATACGATGTAAACAACCAGTTCCGTGACCGCTGAGCCAGTCACGTGGCAAGTTTGAGATTACGACTTTAACACTTTGCGAGGATATTTACGGGCATTTACAAGTACCTTGTTAACGCGATGATTGAATTAATATTGTGGTGGCCTGGGACCGTAAGACTATGATGACCAAATCACCAGGATTGCGTCCACTTTGGCGTGACATCACGGAAGCTGGGCAGGATTTCTGAGCCTGGACAATTATTGGACGGGCGTGCACATACCACGGGTGGCTGTCAGGCTGCTACAGTGACATCGATCGTTGTATTGTACTCCTCTATGTCACCAAACCAACGCTGGCCCGCGTTGGGAGAAGTATGGTCAAATAAACCACCACGACCTTCATCAGGCAGTGATTGGATTCCATGATACGGGGTGGGGGGGGGGGGCTGTACAGACGACGTATAGGGAACATAATTGTAGGGGGCAGGTGGCCAGGGGCAACAGTCATGGTTGGTCTATGCTGCCTTCTGGGAGCCCCCCTCAAAAATTGACCAACAAGCGACAAACGTGGTGAATTTCGATTTAAAGCTTTCGTGACTGCAGGGATTCATCTTCTTGTTTCTTTCGGTAAAGTCACGTAGAATGGAAACAACAAAATAAAACACAATAAAATAATTCTCACGTTTCGGCCACAACGCTTGTTTCCATTCTACGTGACTACCGAAAGAACCAAGAAGATGAAACGTGATGAAGTATGGTCAAAATAACTGCCTTAAAGGGGGGATCTTTGGTCTATGTTGCTTCCTGAGAGCCCCCCTCCACATTTACCACAACCGCAAGTGCCAGACGCGGTGAATTAGGGTCAACTTAATCCTCCACCAAACCCAAGCTCCACAACTTGCTTGAAACGCGGTAGGGCCAGGCCCCTCAAATCCAGCAGCAAGCAGCGTTGCACTCTTTGACAAAAGAGCTCCCCCACCCCCCATACGAATGTAGCGACGCCGCAGTAACGATGTTAATTAGTGGTTAGTAGTGGTTAGTGGCGGTGTTGTGGTAAAGGACAACCCCTCACCCCCCTATAAAGAAGCCGTGACCCACAGCATCACACCACCTCCTGCCGTACTCACAATGGGGGGTCCCCCTCTACTTACTCCACGTGCTTGCCACACGACAACGCATCGGAGAGGACGTTACGTTTTGCGATTACGGTACAGATATTCTAGCGATTTAAATGTAACAACACAGGTTACTGTAACAGGCGTGGTGAAGTATGGTGAAACACTGTCCACCCCCCCCCCCCCAACGGCGTGGTGAAGTGTGGTGAAGTATGGTGAAACACTGTCCACCTCCCTACGGCGTGGTGAAGTATGGTTAAGTATGGTGAAGTATGGTGAAACACTGTCCACCCCCTCCCCCCACGGCGTGGTGAAGTGTGGTGAAGTATGGTGAAACACTGTCCACCCCCCCCCCCCCAAGGCGTGGTGAAGTGTGGTGAAACACTGTCCACCTCCCTACGGCGTGGTGAAGTATGGTGAAGTATGGTGAAGTATGGTGAAACACTGTCCACCCCCCCCCCCAACGGCGTGGTGAAGTATGGTGAAACACTGTCCACCCCCCAACGGCGTGGTTAAGAATGGTGAAGTGTGGTGAAGTATGGTGAAACACGCCACGAAATCAGCACTACACACACGACGTTGCGAGGCCTACACATCCCGCAGTGGGTTGACACAAAGTCGTCGTTATCGTCGTTATCCTCGGCCATGGTCGATCCACTGCTGGATAACAATCGCCCCGGCTCCTTGTCCGCCTCCACGCAGTTCCGTGCGGGTTCTTTGACCGAACTAACGCCACGTTTTTGTTTGTTACTAACATAATAATGGACACAGGGGGGGGTGGTGAGTTTTTTAATGGGCGAGAATGAATACTGGGGAAGGGGGGGGGGCTGCGAAACGTCTCCTCTCCAACCCCCACAAGAGTCTCAACGAAGGCCTACTACTACTACTACAAAGCATCTCCTGGTTGAACAAAGTGCTACAATAAGCCCCCGTCTCTCCCGCCACAATAACTCTGGACTGCGTAACAACTCAATGCCTACCCAGACCATCGTGTAGACAACCCCCCCTCTTCTTCACAACACACACGAATCATCGCGGACGACATGTTATAGCAAAACACCACACACCAACAACAACATCGATTCAACACGAAACCACGCGTACACACTCACCACCACCTCAGAGTCAACTCTCTCACACGCTGCTTGCAACAACTTCACGCCCCCCACCACCACCAACAACACCACCACCACCAATACCTCAGCAGCAGCAGCAACTACTACCACCCACACGCGTCTTTGTCTCTCTCTCCTCGCGAAGTGAACCCGTTGCCTGGTGGCGGCAGCGCGAGCGTCGTCGTCTCCCGCGCGCTGCCCGATGCTCCTCTCCCATTGGACAGCGCCATCGCCCCGCCCCCTTCCAGAGCTCATGAATAATCGATGACCCGTCAAGCGCGCGCTCCCATTGGTCGTTCGGATCCTCGCGTTCGTTATGAATAATTAACGAGTTGTTGCCACCACCCCTCCTCACACGCCATTGGTTGGCGGGTTCGTATCCGAGGGGGGTGGGCGTGACGCCACCTCCCCCCCCGCGCGCTCATGAATAATTAATTACGTGACATCCCCATTGGTCGGTTGGAAGATGTCTGAGAAGTTGCGTCCTCGCGCTCATGAATAATTCATTAGGCGCGCTCCCATTGGCTAAAGCGGTTGGCGCGCGCTCATGAATAATTAATTAGGCGCGCTCCCATTGGCTGAAGCGCGCGCGGGGGGCGGGGCGCGATGGGCCGGCTGCCGCGCATCATCGCGTTGGCGGATGTAACCGTTTGGCGCCAAAACCCGGAGCACGTGACCAAGCTCATGAATAATTAATTAGCGTGCAAACTTCGGCTGTTTGGTGAGCACGTGACAGATTTGAATATCGACCGTCTTGTCCGGATTATAAGACGCACTCCAAGCGCGTTGCCCGGTTTCCATAATTATAAAAACTATTTTAAACACACGCTTACCGAATTCTAAGACGCACGCGCAAAAAGTTTTGTTTATAAAAAACAATGGGGGGGGGGGGGGGGGAAAGTGCGTCTTATAATCCGAAACTTCAGTGTGATTAGCACGTGACTTTAAATGGTCGTAAAATAACGTTCTATTTGGCCAATATATCTTGTCGTAGTGAATAACTCTGGTCTCCCTCTCATTTGTTGAGTGTCCATTCAATCTTCACTGCAGCTGTTCCGATACTTGTACGAATGAACAATGAGATGTCCAACAGCACAGCTCCTTATTGTAATGACCAACAGACTGGCATTGTTCCCACCCCTATGGGGCCGTCCATAAATGACGTCACGCGATTTTGGACGATTTTTGACCCCCCCTCCATTCGTCACAAAAAGTCAGACCCCCCTCAAATGTGACGTCACAAAGCTCTGCCCCCCCCCCCCCAAATAAAACATGCTTTAAATGGCTTTAAACTATTGTCATTGCAGTGCGTATTTAATGTGGCATTACACTCTGATGTTGTAGGAGAAAACATGTATTATAAAGTATATTTAGTTAAGTAAAACGTGTTGTCTATATTTATTTAAAGTTGCGCATTTTGATGTGACGTCACATTTCTCACCCCCCCCCCCTCATCACACATCGTCACAAATGTCTGCCCCCCCCCCCCCCTAGGTGCGTGACGTCATTTATGGACGGCCCCTTGACCATATTTCACCACACTTGTCAGTGCGGGTTTGTGGTTGGTTGAGGTGGGGGGCAAGACCGGTTCGAATACCGCCCACGTGGCCAGGTTCACCGTGCAAGTGCGCCAACCACTGCACCACCGCTCCTGCTGTTGGCAGTGGTGCACAAGAAGAACAAAAAACTTAACACGCTCGTCCATAGTGTGGCCTTAACAGGTTTTTTTGTATAAGAGGCGACGTATGAGGCATTGACCCTTCATACCACATACGCCCAGAGGCTGAACAAGAGTTGGCGACTGCACTTTACACCGTGGTGCCGAATACGAATAAAAAAAATACGGGAAATATTAAACAAAAATATTGATGATCAGTTTTTAATTGAACTATGGAGTAACCTATTCGTATCTATAATACAGGCCTTTTGGGGGGGGGTTAGATCGCGTAAATTCCGTGTAAATTACGCGATCTAACCCCCCCAAAAACTGTATTACGAATTATATTGGCCGCGAAATCCTACGGGGTCAACTATTAGTAGCTGTTGATCAAGAGACAAAACTTCCGATGTGTTGCACACGATTGGCTTTATTGGACGCATCACCAGAATACGTACAGCCTTACGTACACGTGTCCAATGACGAGCTGAAGAGAAAGGGAACGCGCCCTTCGCCGTCCGGAGTATGGGGGGGGGGACAGGGTGGGTTGCATAGAAACATCAGACAAAAGGCTCAAGGTGAGCATAACGCGTAGTCGGAGGCTTTCACGACCAATATCATCCATAATAATAGGTGTTTTGGGGTTAGATCGCGTAAATATATAAATGTGTCGATAAATTTGCCACCACCCGAAACAGCCAATTAGTAAGGTTTGTCACGGAAACAAAACATGCAAATTCGTTACGAGTTCAGCACACCGGTGCGTATGCTAAACTATCTTCTTGGTTCTTTCGGTAAAGTCACGTAGAAGGGAAATAATAAAATAATAAAACATAATAAAATAAAATTCTCACGTTTCGGCTACAACGCAAGCAGCCGTCCTCAGCGTTGTGGCCGAAACGTCGTGAGAATTTAATTTTATAGTTGTATTTTTATTATTTTATTATTTCCCTTCTACGTGACTTTACCGAAAGAACCAAGATGAATCCCTGCAGTCACGAAAGCTTTAAATCGAAATTATGCTAAACTAGTAACGCTGGTGTGTGCTGAACTAGTAATAAATTGGCATGTTTTATCTACGTGACAAACCTTACTAATTGGCCGTGTCGGGTGGTGACGGGTTTAATGACATTTATATTTACGCAATCTTCCCCTAAGAAACATCAACAAAGGCTCCGGGTAGCTTATAATTTCCAAAAGGATCGCCATCACTTTAGCGGAGATCCCTACATCTGCGTCTTCCTTCACAAACCTATTCACTGAAATCCAGATGCCCCAGCAGTGGATTGCCTTCCTGGACTATGCTCCCCAACCTTCACAAACCCACAGTAACCAGTGGTGACGTTACGGTCAACTAATACCCGTGGCCTGCCAGCCGAGCGCGGTGGGGGACAGCCCTCATCCAGCAGCATATTCGGGGCTGTACCTGTCTAAGAAATATTAATAGGATAATCTTTTGCACTAAAAAATCCAATCAGTACATCCCACACCTGGACCTCTTCTTCATCCTAATTCCTGGTGAACAGCACTTGCAGCAATGATTACCCTTCTTCCCCTGCAGTTTGTAGCTCTTTGTCCAGTGACCTATTTGTGTATGTGATCGTCATTTTTAGATCTGTTCAGTTATCCGACCTCTTCACACATGCGACTATACCTTAGTCCTCCAGCGTGTCGGATACGTGACGTTGTACTATACCTACAAACTACCCCAACACGAATAAACTGGTGGATAAAGAGCTGCATTCACAGAATCGGACCTCTGCCGTGAAGCATCCGGTCCGTAAAGACCTGCGCATGAATCTTGAGACCAACTTAACCGTGAGCATTGAATGAATGACAACTGAGATTATTTACACACTGAAATGTACAACCACTTACAGCATAATGTGATCAATTGGCCAAAAGATGACTCGTCTAAATCTTAACGTAAAAGCTTTCGTGACTGCAGGAATTCATACTCTTTTGGTTCTTTCGGTAAAGTCACGTAGATAGAAAAATAATGAAATAAAAATCACAATGATTTTTATTTCATAATTTTTCTATCTCCGTGACTTTACCGAAAGACCCAAAGAGGATGACTTGTCTGTTGAGTATACTGTAGTTTCTTATACATTTGCCTAGCCAGGATAGTGTGGTCATGGGTGACTGTCAAGCACCAATTTGGTTCATCTTCTTGGTTCTTTCGGTAAAGTCACGTAGAAGGGAAGTAATAAAATAATAAAAATAAAACATAATAAAACAATTCTCACGAGCTTGGCAGTGTCTCATTCTTCACCTGAAGACGGCTGCTTGCGTTGTAGCCGAAACGTCGTGAGAATTATTTTATTATGTTTTATTTTTATTATTTTATTACTTCCCTTCTACGTGACTTTACCAAAAGAACCAAGAAGATGAATCCCTGCAGTCACGAAAGCTTTAAATCGAAACCAATTTGGTTGTTTCGGGACCATTTTGCCAACACAGGACATTGCAGCAAAATCCAAAGTTGCATTGTACTTCTATGCTGTGCGATAACATGTTCATCAACACAAACTTGTCACGCAGTTCGTGACCACTGGAAATTTATAAACGGAACAACAGCACGAGGACCATCACGTACCCCCCTTTGTGGGGTACGTGATGACGCTACGGAGAGGGGCTTTGTCGTAGAGACGAGTGTGCGTTTGAACGAGCGAGCGTTGAAGGTACATTCACAGCATGTCTACAAAGCCACACACAATTCTATTTTGGCAGTGCAGCTTACGTGCCTACACAGACACAGGACCCAAGTTCTGCGCCTTTACGCCAACTCTGAGGGCGCGGTGGTCAGTGCAGCCGCGACATCGTCACGTTTGCGTTTCTTTGGAGGCGCCACGTGTTTCAAGAACAAACGGAAGTCACATTTTGCCGTTTTTGACGGCCGCTTTAGAGAACTCTCTACACACCCCCCCCCCCCATTGCTCATTTTCGATTACCGAGATGTTGGATGTCATATGGACATACAAAGCTATTCATTTTCCATCTAAAATAATGCACTTGCAATACAGTAAACTCTGAATTAACAACACTAGTTAGTTGTGCGGATTAAAAAAAAAAACTAATTTAGTCAAAAAAACTATTCATAAAATCGACAATTAATGACATTGAAATTGGCAGCTAGGGCCCAGTGCGGACGGAGTTAGTGGGGAGGTAGTAATGGGTTGGATGGGAGATGATGGCCAGTGTGAGGAGTGCAAGGAAAAAGAGATGTGTGGGAGATGAGAGATAGAGGTCGTTTATTCTCTCTGCTCCCCCATCACCCAATCACAGTCTCTATCCTCCAATCCTCCAGCCATCCGTAATATTAAGTGGTGGAATTTATATGATCGAAAAATAAAATTGTATTCTTTCAGCGCGAGGGCAAGGGATGGATGGCAGGGAGTGGGACAAATTGCGGGAGACGAGGTTTGCGTGGCTGGGAAACGAGGGACGGACGGGAGTGAGCGTGAGTGGGGAGGCGTGCGTGGGATGAGTGGGAGATATTCTCCCACGGCTGTGCCTCAGGGAATGACCGAGGCCCCAGTCACGCAACGGTGAACTCCCCATTCCCCTCCCCTGACCTCAGCCGTTCAATTGCCCGTCACGATTCGCAGTCACGACTCGATAATTCATTTTGTTTTCGTCCCGTGTTTACCGTCTCCTTTATATTTGTATCCTGCCATTTTGACGACACGCTTTCACATTGTCACAGCGTGTTGCTCGGCGCACTGACCGTTGTTCCGTTCCACGTGCAAGGAAGCTTCTAAAATCAGTTGCTGAAGAAGTTCTCAGCACGTGTCGCGAAACGTCGGACATTGTGCCCAACGAAGACCGCGTGGTACAACCCGAAATCACATTGGTGGCGGGAGGAGGGGAGGGGGGACGGAAGGGGGCCACATACAGCACAACCGCGAAAACCTGCGCAGTAGCGACTCGTCTAGTTCCGACAACTCATCCTGGCAGCTTCCCACCGCCACCCTGCCGAGCCATACGTCTTCAGAAAACGCGCCCACACAGGGGGAGGGGGGTGGGGGGGTGGCGACCCTCACGCGATCGGCCGGCCCTCCAGCACGGCGCCGATCTGCTCCAGGCTCACGCGCAGGGTCTTGAGGAAGTGGGCGACGTCGCGGCCGCCCCCCGCGTAGCCGCTCGCGTTGCAGCCCATGGCGTGCGCGTGGATGCCGTAGCCCAGGCCGAAGCCGTCGGGCACCACGGGCGCGAAGCCCCCGAGCCGCACGGCGTCGCTGGCGAGCGTGCTGGTGGACAGCACGTTGTGGTTGATGCGGGCGTACGCCTCGTCGCGGTACAGCTCCGGCAGCGAGCCGCCGCGCTCCGACGCCAGCTTGCGCAGCGCAAACAGGTGGCGGTCGAAGCCCTGGCCTGGACGGTTCGGCGAGACAGGCGAGACGGACGTGGAGAGAGAGGGAGAGACTTGGTTGGTAAAGCTACAACTGGGAGGGGTGGTGATCTGGCGGTCCCCAACGTCACTTCACCAGCCCTGCCCACCTTCACACAGCCTCAAGCCTCGCACGTTGTGACGTTGGTACCACCTGCTGTTCGCGGATCCCTGCCCACGACTCAGGTAGCCTCACCCTTTGCCCACATTATGAGTTAAGCAGGAGACCAGAATTTAAGTTTTTCACTAATTTGATCGGGACAAGGGGACAGATATTCTGACGCCATAACTGCCCAAAGCCACCAAGACTGTTTAGTATCTTTAGCGATTGTGCACTGATGCTGCAGTAATTGCTAATGCTTTGTAACAACCATGCACGTGTTGGCATGAACCAGATGGTATAAACGAACACAAACCGCCAGATTCGTAGCGCAGTGCGCTGCCCACTGCCCGACCGCTCCCCCCCAAAAGATCTCCACAGCCCCCCCACCCCCTTCAAAACCTTCCCGTCAGTGGCGCGCGCGTTACCCATGGCGGCTTCGCGCGTGAGCTTCCCGTGGTAGCGCGAGCACTCCTCCAACATGGCCCGCAGCTCGGCCACGCCGGGCGGCGACGCGCCTGCCCCAGCCTCGTCGCGGCCCAGGACGAAGGCGCGCGTGCAGCGCCGCGTGGCGCTCGTCGCCGGCCGCACGGTCTCGGTGCGCCCGTGGCGGAAAGCGGCGGTGCTGCACGACTCGTAGGTGGCCACCTCGTGGCCGTGCTCGCGGAAGAACGCCATCTGGAAGGCGAGCTGCATCACGGCATCCGGGGACACGTTCTGCTTCTGTGGGGAGACGACAAGGTGGGGGTGGGGTGGGGGAGGCTGGTATAGCGATTGGCGCGCCGAGCTACGAACCGCGGCCGCCCAGGTTTCGATTCATCGCTCACAGCCAACACTGGTGACGATTGTCTGAACCGGTCCTGGTCCTCCCTTAGGTTGACTCAGCCTCAAATGAGTACCTAGTGCGGTGTGAAAACATCGTCACTGGGAGAGACAAAGGCGGCCGGGCGTGGTGCTGGTCACCCACCCCCTCGTGTTCCGTGTTGGCCTTCATAGGTGCTGCTCGCTAACAGCACTTACCCCAATAGCCTGTTAAAGCTATACGGGGGATCTTTGTCTTTGTGTGTGTGTGCACGTGGGGAGCAGTAGCGCAGAGGTTAGCGCGCTGCACTACAAACCCGGTGGCCGGAGTTCGTTTCCCGCTCGTAGCCAACACCAGTGACAATTATCTGAACCGGTCCCGAGGTCGACTCGGCCTCAAATGAGTACCTTGTGCAGTGTGAAAACATCGTCACTGGGAGAGACAGAGGCGGCCGGGCGTGGTGCTGGCCAACCACCCCCTCGTGCGTCATGACGGGCTTCATAGGTGCTGCTCGCTAACAGCACTTGCCACCAACAGTCTGTTAAGGCTATACAAGAACCTGCGTTTTTGGGAAACCCTCGGTAAATTGCCCCGCGGTGGACAGGCGGGCACAACCGCCTACACCGCGGCGCCACCGCCACGCTAACCGCCGGGCCGCACCTTGAGGAAGTTCTTCCCGTACTTGTCGAACTCCATGGCGTGAATGACGAGGCCGGACACCGTCCGGTGGAACTGCCGGCGAGCGGCGTCCACGGCCGCCTTCATCGCGTCGTCCAGACGGAAATCGAGGCGTCGCACGGACGACTGTTCCACGTCGGAGGAGGGCGGCGCGTCATCGGGAGACACGGCCGGCCTCTTCAGCGAGTCCTGCATCAGAGAGAGAGAGACGTCACGAAATTGACGTCGCTCGTCACGGATATTGGAGTCACCGTCTGCATCGATCCCTACACTGAAATTATGGATGCCACTAACGCCACGGCTGTCAACACTCTCCAGGTTTTCCGGTCGTTCGCAGTCAGCGCTGTGTGTCAGAGAGCCCTCGGCTTAGGCATTTGTATCTTTTCAATACGAAGGGCATGCAGCCTTGATGGTAGGCGAGTCCTGACTTGACGGCACTGTGGGGCCGACGGCTTCGGGGATTCTTATCGCTTCAACCCGACCTACGATGCCAATCAGCGTTGGCGGTCATTTCTATGCGACGTTGTACGGCCACTTCACAATGAAGAATCTTTATTAATCCTGGACAAAGCCGATGAGCTATGAAGCTCTTTGTCACAAATGTCCAGGAGATGTCCTGGCCGACCTCTTACGTTGGCCAGTACTTCTACTCGGCGGCCTTTGTTATTCTATTCTATTTCGGATTTATATAGTGCACTTTAAAATGCAAGCCAACAGCGTTCAGTGAGGAAGGTGACAGAATGGATGGACAGGTGGCTGGGAATGGAGCCGATGTTGCTGGGGTAGTTAAGGCAGAATAGGGTGGAATGTGATGGTGAGTGAGGGTGTCTGATGGCTGCGGCGTGGATGAGATGCAGTAGGTTATGGGGCACGTGCGTGAAGCAGTGAAATGGGCATGGATGAGGGTAGGTGAAGGGTGGTAGGGGCAGCGGTCTGGTGGCCGGATAGTTAAGCCGATGGAGGAGCAAAGTGTCGGGCTGGGGGAGAGACGTGGTTAGGTGCACGTAGAAAGCAAGAAGTCGGAGCCGGGTCAGGAATTAGGGTCGTCGGAGGAAGACGACTGAGGGGCTGTGAGTAGGATATCGCAGTCGCCGTTGCTGGCCCGTTGTCGTCACTACGCCGTGCCTTGTAAATCTCGTTGATGAAGCGCAGCACCGCCACGCCGTCGCCCCACGAGTGCTCGAAGTGCACGGCCGCCTCCCCGTCGGCCGCCACGATGAGGCTCAGGGATTTGTCGAACCAGCGGTCGCCGCCCACGCCGTGCAGCATGAGGTGCGACAGACGCACGGGAGCCGGCGCGTCGCGTCCGCCGAGCGCAGTCAATCGCTCCTCACCCTGCTGCTGCTGCTGCTCACCGTCGCACGGACAAGCGGACAGGGGAAGGGTGGCATGTGGACGGGGAGTGAAAATGTATTTTGTTGCACCAGGCGAGACCAGGGGTGTGATTTGCAAGAGTGGCGGACCTGGCTCACTGAAATGAGAAAAGCAGAACGGAAGTTTCAGCAGTGAAGTGAGTAGCAATCGGTACAAAAACAAAACACACAAAACAACTGTATCACAAAATATTGCAAACAAATATATATCAATGTAAAACGAACATTCAATGTTAAATTCCAGTGCTTTGGCATTTGTTGGCAGCAGTTTTGGCTGCGGTCCCCACTTTTATCTGTGGTTCCCGGTGCCTGCGTTAGAAACTCTACGGCGTGACATTTTCGCTTGCATGAACGACGCGAAGTTCAAAACAAAAAACGATCCGTCATTAAACGCGGAATGCCAGCGGCGCTGCCGGCTCATCGTCGTAACCTGCGAGGCGCCCTCGGCACCGTCCTCGTCCAGGCACAGGCAGAAGATGGCCGAGTCGACCAGCGCCAGCGCCTCCTGGTTGCCCAGCTCCAGCAGGTGCTGGCGCAAGCCGGCCCAGGTGTCGCGGTTCTCCCCGGTCAGGTAGGCGAGCGGGTGCGACGGCTCTCCCGCCGCGTCAGCCTCCGCCATCACGCGGCGCAAGCGCTCCTATGGCATGAGAGAGAGTGGCATAAGAGACGGCCCTCGTGAATTGGGTGAAGGGGGGGGGGGGTGTGTGACGCTCGTGGGCCAGGGCCTTTCTCACTCGTAGCATATGGGCCCACTCGCACACTCGCACATAAAGCAAAGCCAAAGATCCCCCGTAAATACGAGTGGCGATCTTTACACACCGCTACAAACTCATTTGAGGGAAGACCCAGGACCGGTTCAGATAATCTTGACTGATGTTGGCTGTGCGTGGGAATCGAACCCCAGTTATTGGGTTCATAGCGCAGCGCGCTAACCGCTACTACGCTACCGCTCCGCACACACTCACACAGCACTCGCACTCACACAGCACACACTCTCGCACAGCTCGCGCTCACACAAAGAGCTCACGCAGTACACGCAGAGCTCAAACAGTCATGCACAGACCTCACACGCTCACACACAGACCTCAAACAGTCAGACACACTGAGCTCACACACCCACCCACACGGCTCACGCAATGTCTTGCTGGTTGGGAGCCAAATCCCTCTGCTCCACGGGGTTCAGCACCACCCACCAACCAACCTCAAGTACAGGGGGAGCCACTTGTTTACCAGTTGGGAGCTAGCTACTTCTGCGGTACGGTGTTGGCGTCCCTGCACCGCCAACCCACCTGTATCCGAGCCGCGGGGAGGATGGATCCGTCGCGATCCAGGACGTCGCACGCGAACAGCTGCTGGCGCCGCATGACCAGCAGGTGGCGTGCGGTGGGCTCCGTGAAGAGCTCGTCCCGGTCGGCGCGGGGCAGCCGCGTGGAGTTGAAGAGGCGGCCGTACTGCGACATGTCAAGCGGGTAGGCGTTGACCGCGTACGCGCCGTACCTGCGCCGCCATTACAGGCGCGAGCGGGAAGGGGGAAGGTAGACGTGGGGGGGGGGGGGTGGGGTAGAAATGGGCGTAACGTCTATAAGGGACGCGCAAATACACACGGGGCTATGGTTACAGCCCTGCGCCAGTGGTCAGAATTTCGCGTTTCGAAGATTGCAGCGAGCCTATCCATAGGACAACCAATGTTGATCTTCCCCATAAAGTGTTGCTGATTTTATTGGTCTGGGATGGATGATGGGCCGAATCAACCCCAGCCAGAATTTGTCCGATTATGAGCTTGTCGCTCTGCAGCTGAGCCACCAGCGGACCGACTGTGGACAATGATTGATGATGACACAGGGATCGGGAGTTCATGAAAATCATTCTAATATTAAGCAGAATCTCCTTTCAGACTTGAGGAACGCGATGAGTTACTAGGCTCGTTTTTCGCAGACGCCCAGCAGGCGGCGCGGGTCAGCGGGCCACAACAATCGGCGACCTACCAGGACAGGGAGGAAGGCAGCCAGCGCACCCAGCGGCGGAAGGAGTCGGTGTCGCTGCGCGCCGGGTTCAGGTGGAAGACCTCCGGCTCGAGGACGCCGGCCCGCAGGGTGCGCATGAAGCGCAGCCCCGACACGGTCAGGTTGGTGGCGCGCGTCAGCTGCCCGCCGTAGCCCGGCCGGCTGTCGGCCGTCAGCCCCACAAACGGGTTGTAGTTGAGCAGCACGGGCTCGCGCGCCGCCAGGTACATGTCAAACCAAGGGCCTGCAGCAGTCGCAACGCACCACGTGACCAGGAGTCAGCGCTGCAAAGCAACGTCAGTGCAGCGCCACGTAGCCATGAGTCAGCACCACGTAGCCACTAATTAATCTGGTGCCACGTAGCCACGAGTGATCGAGGCACCGCGACGGCGTTGGACCCAAGGCTGTCACCATCACGCTGTGAACAGAGCTGTGAACAGGACCAGAGAGCGAGAATCCGTGTGCTTGACGAGCGGTCGATCGGCAACCGGCGCTAGGCAGACAAACAAATCGCCGCCCACCGCCAGCGATTTGGTGTCTGCCCGAGCGCCGGGTGCTGGGCCCCGCTGAGCGTGCGTCGCTCGTCTCACCCGAGATGTAGCTGCTCTTCTTGTTCTGCTTGTCCAGCGCCAGCAGCTCCTTGTGTAGCTCCTGGCCATCTCCGGCTTCAAACTTGCGGGCGATGCGCTCTGTCTGACTGCGCCCGAGCACGCGCGTGCGACACCCACACATCTCGAGCCTCAAGGACTATCCACGAGACTCGTGGTACCTTCCATTACGAATTGCCTTGCAATCCCTTACCACTTTCAGCATCGTTCATTCGCCTCCACCATTCCGCACTGACCAGCGCGGCCAAATATGGTCAAAGAGCAACTCCCACGACGCGTCCGGCGTGGGGGGAGGCCCTCATCCGGCAGCGGATTGAAAAAAGAAAGGGCTGTGACGTGTGTTGAGGTGTAAACTCACACGGAGACGAGATTCTCTGTAAGGGCTATTGCCAGTTTATTAAGCACTACACTCCCGTACAGCATCTCCGGATCACACGCGGGGTAGACACTTCTAAACTAGGTCCTTCCCGTGGACCGTCCCGGTACCTGCTTAACTCCTCGGCCTATCCTCACCTAAGCTCCCCACTAATCCTACTCTTTCCTCGGCCTAGGGTCTCGGTGCCGAGCGGCGTGTCGTCCGTTCGGCGCGTCTCCCGTCTCCTCGAGACTCCTGTTCCCTCGGCTCCCCACAACGACCCCTGTCCTCTTGGTAATATGACGTCACCCTATCATGTAATCCCGTTCTTTTCTGCCGATGCCCTCACTTCCTCCCACTACTCCTCTACACGTGCACGCATTGCTGGGCCGTCGGTCTCACCTGTACTCCTCATCGTTCAGCAGGGGGCGCTGTGCAGCCAGGTACCTCCTGACGGTGTCCTCCAGCTTTGGGATGGGTAACCTGACCACAGCGGCACGGTGTAAACGTGCAATGCGTCAGCTACGTTCATTAACGACCACGTTTCAGGACATGAAATTAAAAAACAAACGGAACACTTCAAGTCGTTTCACAATTGACAAGGCGGTGACAGGCGACCCAGCGCTGGCACGTTCGCCGCTTGCTGCAGATGTTTGTGGTTCGAATCCAGTGGCCGCCCTGGTTAATGCCGCGGGAGTCGTAACAGCAACACGACCTACGTGCAGTGGACATGAAAAATCCCGTGACGTCGCTCGTAAGAGCAGGTCGCTGTGTGCCATCGCCAGGGTTCAAATTTGGCAAAATAAAACAAGAAAATGCAATACAATGTGGATCTCAGGATTCTGTGCAGAAACAGTGGGGATATTTATTTTATGGAGAGCGAGAGAGGCACAGTTATAGGCAGAAGGCGAGAGGAAGGTGTCCTCGATCCTGGGACTTGAGCAAGTAGGCATGGAGTGCAGAGCACCGATGGCTGGGAAAATAATTCCATAATGGGGTTGCGGGGGGGGGGAGATGATTCGATGAAAAAAAATATTCAAACCGAGCTACTGTATTTATGTTAAACTTCTTTCGCGCCGTACGTAGCCAACCGTGCTAAATGGAGGTACAGTACTGTCTTTGTTTCTATTTGCTCTGCAGGTCTGGCAACACGTTCCACGCTAAAGCCGGCGTGCCCTTTCACCTGCATATGGCCCCAACCCCCACCACCCCAACCCATGCTTCTGCCTCCACCCCTCTCCCGACGACAGAGCACTGCCCAGGGCAAGGTGCTCCATGCTAGTGGTGGAAATTCTACATTCCTATGGCGGGGAAGCAAGACACCCCACAAAGACGGGCAACCTCTGGACACCGCTAAGGAGACTGCGCACTGAATGTGGTGACCCGAGTTTGATTTCCGGCCACAGCTAACGTGAGTGGCGACTAATAATATCGACACCAGACCTGGACCCCCCCCCCACGCCGCCCTTCACTTATTGGCGCTGACCAGCTAAGCGAAGTATGATCAACTCACCTCCCAACCCCCATGGCCAATACGGCGCTGGAGGACATTCATCCAGCAGCGAAATCAGAACAAGCTCTGTTATTCCCACGAGTTAAACGCATGCTAAAAATGTCCCATCAACGTTTCAAACCTACTCGGATAAGATGAAATGGCTCTACATTGGAACCTCATTTGCTAGTAGCAAAATATGATAATTGTTTTTTTACCCTTTTATCTGGCAACAAAACTGACACCTTTTTTTTACAGTAACCAATTATCATATTTTGCTACTGGCAAATGAGGTGCCAATGGTGTAAATGCTCACCCCGATGGTGCATTGCCTTTGAGTTGTGCGCCTTTTGGCGTCATCTGGTCCAACACCATGAGAGAATAAGAGACTAGGCTCTAAAGAAAGCTGTCTCGGGCGTGGACCAATCAATTTCAAGGACAGTACATACATTATCAGAGTTATGTTTTTTGTTTGCATTCCGACTGCAGGTATTGTGGTCAATGCAAACATGACTCCTTGTAAAAAAAAGTGTCAGTTTTGTTGCGAGATGGCTCTCGTTGAACCCAGTGACCGACACGTTTCAAACTGTAGTGCATTCTCCAGACCTGGCAACGCTGCCCCTACCAAGCCGCCTCCCTCGAAGTTGCACTTTCACCTGGATCCCAGCCCTGCACACCCATGCACCCTTCCTTTCCAACCCCCCCAGGCTTAGTATATGCAGAGAGTGCTCCGAGATGCCAGCAAACCCTCTTAACTCAAATCGCATAGACACGCAAAATATACGCAGAGGCCGGCGAGTTTGGGAATTTCACAAATCTGCGTGCGCCATCGCGCCCGTCCAGCGCGTCTCGCCTTGCAGCGGTCAGGGAGAGTGAATTTGGCGCTTGAGGGGACATGAAGGTTATCAGTCCGTCACTCAGCCAAGGCAAGCGGGGGGGGGGGGGGCAAAGTTATCCACGTGGATGTGCGCCATGCGGCTGACTGGAATGACGCCCAGCGTTTCACGCTGTAAATCGGTTAACATGGTTCACAGAGTGGGTGACGTGACCCAACACTGTCCCTGCTATGTCAAAATCCACTGTTAATTCACAAAAAGATCCCATGACCACACGCACTCGCTATTTGAAAACAAACCACTGCAAGTTCCGATGATGACTTACTGTGACCGTGACAATTATTTTACGTGGGAAAGCCTCAGAGTCTCAAGACCTTTTCCAACCATTGGTGAAGGCGATAATCAATTTACATTTCGCATTTATTTTCGTTTAATCAGGTGAGAACTCAGGATGAATTGTCATTTGGACGAGCGAGCTGGATTGCCAAACATTAATATGTTAAACAAAGTCACGGCCCAGATACGGACCATGATTCTGTGCGTTCCTCACCTCTGACCCAATGCATCATAACCCTGCCAGAATCCACACCGCATGCGTAGTGTTGTACGATTTCCAACTAAGGTCCACATCATTTTAGCATTGGCTGTCCGTGTGACTATGTCTGTAACGGGGGGGGGGGGGGGGGGCGGGGGAAGCACTATACCTCTCCTGATGATGATCCATTGTATACTACAGTTTAGTATTCATCTTCTTGGTTCTTTCGGTAAAGTCACGTAGAAGGGAAATAATAACAATAAAACATAATAAAATAATTCTCACAACGTTTCGGCCACAACGCAAACAGCCGTCCTCAGGTGAAGAACAGGTCTGAATGGACTGGACGCTGTCTTTCCGACAGACCTGTTCTTCACCTGAGGACGGCTGCTTGCGTTGTGGCCGAAACGTCGTGAGAATTATTTTATTATGTTTTATTGTTATTATTTTATTATTTCCCTTCTACGTGACTTTACCGAAAGAACCAAGAAGACGAATCCCTGCAGTCACGAAAGCTTTAAATCGAAGTTTAGTATTTGTTATGTTATCAGGGATTTATAAAAAATCAGCAAATGGATCACAGACTTGCCCAAAGCTTGGAGACACAAATCCTTACTCAATTGGACTACAGCACCATAATTCCGAATGCTCAAACACTCAACATGTTGTCTTAACAGAGACATGCTACAGAGAGGGGCAGTGCCCGGAGAGACGATAGGTGTGGGGTGCAGGGGTCCAGGGTTCAGGGGTCGAGGGTCCACTTGGGTTGTGCCCCATGGGCATGTGTGGATAGTGTCGGAGGTTGCCTACCGGCTGCTAGAGAGAGTGCGCAGGCTGGGTGCATAGTGCCCGGGGTAGTGGGCAGGGTGTCGCGGGTAGGGGTGCAGCAGCTGCAACAGCAGGGTGCTTTGAGTGATGTGTAGGGTGTGCATCATTGGGTCGGGTAAAACCGAACTCGTGTTAAAAGCTTGTCGCGGTGAGTCTCACGTGACAGGAACATGACGAGATGCCGATGTGATTTTCGCGATACAGGTTCACGATTTTCTTTGCAAGTATGTATGTTGAACTTCTTTTGCACCGTACGTAGTCAACGGTGATAATCGGGCGGTGCCCGAGGATGGGTCACGGAGTGGCATAGATCATCCATCTAGCAAGCATCTGTCTGTATCCATGGAGTTCTCTCACCCGGGACTGTGGATGCAGGATGCATGGTGTATCGTGTTTTGTATGGTGTGTGTGTGTGGTGTATTGAGTGTGGTGCAGTTTTTGTACAATATTTTCTAATTATCATGTGACGCTGTTGTTTTCTTATATTTATAATTTATGTGTGTGTATGACCAGTAGTAGTAGTGCCATATAGTAAACTAAACTACTGTATTTTATATTTTAGCAGGTAAGGCCTGCTTGAGCAATATGGCTCTTTTTCAGAAGCGACCTGACTAAAAACGACAACTCACTCAAGTGGCTTATCACGTGCAAATGTATAGCATCGAAAGACTCGAAACGCGTGATGTTGATTCTAAATGTGGAGGGAAAACCCGGAGGACCCGGAGAAAAATCCAAACTCCAAATATACAGCAGCAGGCGTCAGGGTCGTGGTCGATCCCATGACCTCCTGCACACCAGGCGAGGTAGTTAACATCTCCTAGCCACCGTGATGATGATGATGAGAGAGAGACATGCAAACTCCAAATATACAGCAGCAGGCGTCAGGGTCGGGGTCGAACCCTTGACCTCCTGCATACCAGGCGAAGTAGTTAACATATCCCAGCCATCACGAGATGTTTGGTAAACAGTGCATTGCATTATGCTGTATATATATCGTGTATGTGTGCATGGTGTATAGTGAGTTGTGTAGTATGTATAGTGTAGTGTAGTATGTATAGTCTAGTGAGTAGTGTAGTGTGTATAGTGTAGTGTATAGTGTCTGTGTGCATGGTGTATAGTGAGTAGTGTAGTATGTAGTGTAGTGAGTAGTGTAGTATGTATAGTATAATGAGTAGTGTATCGTGTATAGTGTAGTATGTATAGTATAGTGAGTAGCGTAGTGTGTATAGTATAGTGTAGTGTGTATAGTATAGTGAGTAGTGTAGTATATATAGTATGGTGAGTAGTGTAGTATAGTGTCTGTGTGCATGGTGTATAGTGAGTAGTGTAGTGTATAGTGTAGTGTATAGTGTAGTATAATGTAGTGTATAGTGTAGTGTGTATAGTATAGTGTATAGTGTGCACGGCGTGCCCTCACCGGGGCAGGCTGGGCTGGAAGTGCAGGGTGTATAATGAGTAGTGTGGTGTGTATAGTGTAGTGTATAGTGAGTTGTGTAGTGTGTACAGTGTAGTGTGTATAGTGTAGTGTATAGTGTAGTGTATAGTGTAGTATAATGTAGTGTATAGTGTAGTGTGTATAGTGTAGTGTGTATAGTGTAGTGTATAGTGTAGTATAATGTAGTGCATAGTGTAGTGTATAGTGTAGTGTATAGTGTAGTGTATAATGTAGTGTATAGTGTAGTGTATAGTGTAGTGTATAATGTAGTGTATAATGTAGTGCATAGTGTAGTGTACGGTGTAGTGTATAGTGTAGTGTATAGTGTAGTATAGTGTAGTGTACAGTGCCCTCACCGGGGCAGGCTGGGCTGGAAGTGCAGGGTGTATAGTGAGTAGTGTGGTGTGTATAGTGTAGTGTATAGTGTAGTGTATAGTGTAGTGTATAGTGTAGTGTATAGTGTAGTGTATAGTGTAGTGTATAATGTAGTGTCTGCGTGCCCTCACCGGGGCAGGCTGGGCTGGAAGTGCAGGGTGTACAGTATAGTGAGTAGTGTAGTGTGTATAGTGTACAGTGTAGTGTATAGTGTAGTGTATAGTGTAGTGTACAGTGTAGTGTATAGTGTAGTGTATAGTGTAGTGTATAGTGTAGTGTATAGTGTAGTATAGTGTAGTGTATAGTGTAGTGTATAGTGTAGTATAGTGTAGTGTATAGTGTAGTGTATAGTGTAGTGTATAGTGTAGTGTATAATGTAGTGTATAGTGTAGTGTGTAGTGTAGTGTATAGTGTAGTGTATAATGTAGTGTATAGTGTAGTGTATAATGTAGTGTATAGTGTAGTGTATAGTGTAATGTATAGTGTAGTGTATAGTGTAGTGTATAGTGTAGTATAGTGTAGTGTATAGTGTAGTGTATAGTGTAGTGTATAGTGTAGTGTATAATGTAGTGTATAGTGTAGTGTATAGTGTAGTATAGTGTAGTGTATAGTGTAGTGTATAGTGTAGTGTATAATGTAGTGTATAATGTAGTGTATAGTGTAGTGTGTAGTGTCGTGTATAGTGTAGTGTATAGTGTAGTGTATAGTGTAGTGTATAGTGTAGTGTATAGTGTAGTGTATAGTGTAGTGTATAGTGTAGTGTATAATGTAGTGTATAGTGTAGTGTATAGTGTAGTATATAATGTAGTGTCTGGGTGCCCTCACCGGGGCAGGCTGGGCTGGAAGTGCAGGGTGTATAATGAGTAGTGTAGTGTGTATAGTGTAGTGTATAGTGTAGTATAATGTAGTGTATAATGTAGTATATAATATAATGTACAGTGCCCTCACCGGGGCAGGCTGGGCTGGAAGTGCAGGGTGTACAGTATAGTGTAGTGTATAGTGTAGTGTATAGTGTAGTGTATAGTGTAGTGTATAGTGTAGTGTATAGTGTAGTGTATAGTGTAGTGTATAGTGTAGTAAATAGTGTAGTGTATAGTGTAGTAAATAGTGTAGTGTATAGTGTAGTGTATAATGTAGTGTATAGTGTAGTGTATAGTGTAGTGTATAGTGTAGTGTATAGTGTAGTGTATAGTGTAGTGTGTATAGTGTAGTGTGTAGTGTATAGTGTAGTGTATAGTGTAGTGTGTAGTGTATAGTGTAGTGTACAGTGTAGTGTACAGTGCCCTCACCGGGGCAGGCTGGGCTGGAAGTGCAGGGTGGGCACTACGCTGCGATGCAGGAACTCGTAGCCGGGATCCGAGGCGGCTCCGCTCCGTCTCCGCGCGGGCAGTGCCGCGCCTCCCGCACGGCACCACCGGCCCAGCGAGGCGTGGGGGACCCTGACCAGCGCGCTCGCCATGACGGCGGGCAGAGAGGGAGGCGAGAGGAGAGAGAGAGGAGAGAGAACCCGAGGTGGTGACAACCTCCCGCTCGCTACCTCAGCTGGAAGCCAGGCGACTGCTGCCCCGAGACATGAATCGTAGCGATGGTAGCCCCGGAACCTGAATTGCGATCCGGGCCCCGAGACATGAATGGTGGCGATAGAACCCCCGGAACCTGAAATGCTATACCCCCCCCCCCTCCGGGCCCCGAGACATGAATAGAAACGATGGAGCCCCTGGAACCTGAATTGCTATGACCCCCCCCCCCCCGGGCCCCGAGACATAAATAGCAACGATGGAACCCCCGGAACCTGAATTGCCACGACCCCCTCCCCCCCGGACCCCGAGACATGAATAGCAACGATGGAGCCCCCGGAACCTGAATTGCCACGACCCCCTCCCCCCCGGACCCCGAGACATGAATAGCAACGATGGAGCCCCCGGAACCTGAATTGCCACGACCCCCCCCCCCCGGGCCCCAAGACATGAATCGTAGCGATGGAGCCCCCAGAACCTGACTCATCAGATTCCTCCAGTCCAAATCAAGATCATGATTCTGTGGTGTAAACCCCATTTAACAGGTCCCTGCGGGGTGGGCTGGTAGGAACGAATAACCAAAGAATATAAACATAATTTATTATTACACTTGTTTAGCCAGGAAAGCCTCACTGAGTGTCAAGGTTTTTGTAGGGTCCTGCCAAGTGTTTGCAGTAGGGGGCGATGTTGCTACACGGACGGACGATATAATCTATTGTAGGCTGGTTCACTTCATTCCTACCAGTATAATGTACCGTATAGCGTCACAATTGTACCGCGCTGCCGCTCAGTATTCGTTCACTCTCGAAGAAACAAGAGTGAGAGAACACGGCAACATAAAGGCCGATTGCTTCAAAGGCTTTGGTAAATTTAATTTCATCCATAACTGCAAGCAACTTGACTGCACCAATCGGGTCCTGGGCATGAACATTTTCGACCTGGTAGTACATGTTGTTTATGCCATTTATTGTGAAAATTCCGTCACAGTTTCTACAATTGCTTTTAGACTGATGGCCTTAATCTAAGCTGTCTTGTGGTTGTTGTTGTTTGACTTGCATCCCACTGGGATTTTTGCACACAGTGTTGGTGTACGGTGTTTTTTTCTGCAATATTTTTGCTGTCTTTTCTTGGATTTTGTTTGCACTTAGTCACATATTCACTTTAAGATGTTTTTGTTCATGTTTTAGTTTTTTGTTTGTTGCGGTTGCACCCGATTCAAGAGCTGAATGGCTCACAGGGCTATACCTAATAAATTAACTTGAAATGAACTTGAACTTGACCTGGCGAAACTGTGTTTCTGATCATTCTGCTTTGCAACACAGCCACTCATCACTTTTATCAAATGGCACCGACTCCCAGAGTCCACTTGGCCAGGTCGTGGCTTTATTATCACCAGCGTCACGTGTCTCACACAGAAACCAAATGTTCAAACCCTAGACGAGCTATCTACAATAACAAAATATATATTACTGGACTGTAGTGAATTTTACACCAAGTAATGTTGCCTCCACCATTCACATCGATTCACGCGTGTAACTTAGAAAATAACTCTGCTTTAAATTTCGATTTAAAGCTTTCGTGACTGCAGGGATTCATGTTCTTGGTTCTTTCGGGAAAGTCATCACGTAGAAGGGAAATAACCACAGCAAAAACATATCTTGCTGTGGTTTTCACATCTGATGATGATTGCTTGTGTTGCAATCGAAACTAATTCTAGATTTGAAGCTTTCGTGGCTGCAAGGATTCATACTCTTAGGTTTTTTCGGTAAAGTCACGTAGGTAAAAAATATAATAAATAATAGAAATAACAATTATTATTTTATTTCTATTATTTATCATTTATTAGATTTTTTTACCTACGTGACTTTACCGAAAAAACCTAAGTTTGCAATCGAAACGTGAGAATTTAATTGTTTATTTTATTTTATTATTTCCCTTCTACGTGACTTTACCGAAAGAACCAAGAATATGAACTCTGCTTTAACTGTGCATTTTTTTTTAATGACGTGCGTGTGTGCGCGCGTGCGTCAAACATTCAAAATGCGTGCAATTAACGCTTGTTCTTTTGCATTCACTGTTGTGTTGGCGCCACGCCATAAGTACATAATGCGCTGTGTGCATAGTGCTCATTGGCGGTGCTATAGACTGAACTTCTGGGTCTAACACAGAAGACTTGAGCCGCGTGTACTCGGCTCCAACAGGATCTGCGTCACTTCAGAACAAGGATCTCCAACTGTTGTCCCGGGACCATATTTCAAGGCTCTTCATTGGAGTGGCCAGCCAAGAGATTAGGCTCGCAGAGACGCACAGAGATACAGACGAGCGCGCGAGAGACAATCACACGAAACTCGAGAGCTGGAAAGAAGAGGTCAAGAAGATCAGTGAGATGACAGCGAGGTAAACTAGCGACGAGAGAACGAGAGACAAACGGTACCGATTGGCATTCACGTGTGCGGGACGATAAGACATCACAATCCCACGCGATGTCGAAATGTCTGCACGCGTGACATGATGCAACGGAGCACAGGCCCGACACATGCTAATATTGTGGCCTTGCTGGAAAATAAAGTCGAAGAACCCTGGACACGAACAGTAGCGACGAGAAATTTGATTTCGTGTGGTCATGGTCGCTCCGTCTGAAATAGGTTTAAGACACAGGTACGCAGAATTATTCAGGCGAGCAGTTGTTTCATCCAGTACATCGGTTACCATCCAATAAAAAAAAATTACCATGTCGTTTCTCACATTGCTCCATTATCATAATTATAACATTGACCGTATTACAATCACGACAGAGATGGTGTGTGTGTGTATACGTGTCCTATGGGAGGCAGAGAACACCGATTCGAATGTTGGTATACGTTTACCAATCATCAGGCGTGTGCAGTGCGAAGGGAGATTACTGGTGACCATGGATAGGTGGATTGTGGTGGGGCAAAATAACTCAAGTTTGGACAGTGTTATTTTTTTCTTATTATTTTACGTTCTTGTCCAAATGCTTGCTCATACAGTCAGGGACATTGCAAGCAGTGCTGGCAAACGAGGGCATGTGCGTCACGAGAAGGAATGGCAGTGAATGATGAAGGCTGAATGGGATGGCAGCACACTTGGAAGGGACAAGCACCAGGACATGGAGCAAGTGAGATGATCTTCTTGGTTCTTTTGGTAAAGTCACGTAGAAGGGAAATAATAAAATTCTCACGACGTTTCGGCCACAACGCAAGCAGCAGTCCTCGTTGTGGCCAAAACGTCGTGAGAATTTTATTGTTTTATTTTTATTATTTTATTATTTCCCTTCTACGTGACTTTACCGAAAGAACCAAGAATATGAATCCCTGCAGTCACGAAAGCTTTAAATAGAAATTTAAGTGAGATCTTGAGTTTTATGGGGCTGTGGATTATGAAAGTCAGCCAGCGAACGGTCCCATCCAACAGTGGATTGAGACTGGTCATCGATTGTACTAAGGCCTACGAGAAGGTACATGTGCAGCCCTTTGTCATTCCACCGCCTCTCCACGCCATACAGGTCGTGGGGTTAATTTACCACGTGGGTCATTGCGGGTTGAAGCCGGGGAACAGGGGCCGTCCATAAATGACGTCACGCGATTTGGACGATTTTTGACCCCCCCCCCCCCCGGTCACACGGCGTCACATAAAGTCAGACCCTCCCCCCCCTCAAATATGACGTCACAAATTTCTGCCCCCCCCAAAAAAAAACATATTTCCATTTTTTTAATAAAACATGCTTCAAATCGCTTTAAACTATTGTCATTGTAGTGCGTATTTAATGTGGCGCTGCACTCTGATATTGTAGGAGAAAAATTTATTAAAAAGTCTCTTTAATCAAGTAGAACGTGTTGTCTAAATTTATTTAAAGTTGCGCATTTTGACGTGACGTCACATTTCTCAAACTCCCCCCTCCTCGTCACACATTGTCACAAACTTCTGACCCCCCCCCCCAGGTGCGTGACGTCATTTATGGACGGCCCCACAGCATAAAAGTACCACACGCTACGATAAGGTAGTATTTTAGACATCTTCATAAATAAATATATACAGTATATGGAATATCCTCTGACACATACAACCCATTACCCATACACCACATGAAATCAGAGGAACAATATTATCAGATACCACGCCTTTAATTGGTAAAACAATCCGAACAAAATAAACCACCGTGCCATGTGTTTTACAGTTGTGCCGTGTGTTGTTGTTTGGGATGTGCAAAGTTTTACTCCACGTTCTGTGAGATTGTTCAATTCCGGAGCTTCTAGAAGTCCTCTTCTTCAGTTCCCACGTCGTGCCGAAGGACACTCGGTAAAACCTGAAATCACACGGGAGCGAGCAATACAGCACCACCGCTAAATCCTACGCGTTCATATAAATAAGCCGCTCATAATTCGGGCGACAGTGCAGTCGACTAAGTAGGAGACACCACCTCCTCCGATCCCTGGACGGCATTCCTCGTCCCCGCCAGGGGACCCGCTTGCTGCGAGCGCTTCAGAAGGCGTCGTTGATGTTCTTGAGCTGGCGCACGGACAGGTCGGCGGGGAGGTCGAACTGAAGGTCGCTGAGGCGGCCCAGGATGGTGAGGGCTCCCTCGAAGCCGGTGCGCGCCATGTAGCTCCACGCCTGGTAGTGCCCCTCCACGAGCGTGCCGGCCTTGCACACCAGGTTCAGCCACGACACCAGACGCTGCTCGTTGAGGCCGCGGCACACCAGCGCCTTGAACTCGGAGTCGGCGCTGCGCTTGAACCGGTCGTGGTCGCTGAGCACCTCGTGGACGGCCACGAGTAGGCCGTGCTTGGCCGACGCTCCACGTGCCCTTCCGCCCGTCTCGCCGTCTATTCGCAAGCCGAAGGACTCGGACAGCTTGCGCGCGGGAGACTCCATGTAAGCGCGCCCGTTCTTCGTGTCGTAGTACTCCTTGAAGATGAGCCACGGGTGGATGCCCGGCGCCGCCGCCGACCCCCTCGACGACCTGACCGGCGAGAAGGCCGGCAGGAGGCAGGCGATGGGCGCCAGCACCATGCTGCCGCCGGAGGCCGAGCGCAGCGGCGGCTGCAGGCCG